AGGGTGAGCTCCCATTGCTCGGTCCCAGCTCCTGCCAACCTAGCATTTCGAAAGCATGAAGTGCAAGTAGATAAATAGGTACTGCTCCAGTGGGAAGGTAAATGGCGTTTCTGTGCGCTGCTCTGGTTTGCCAGAAGCGGCTTAGTCATGCTGGCCACATGACCCGGAAGCTGTACACCGGCTCCCTCGGCCAATAAAGCGAGATGAGTGCCGCAGTCCCAGAGTCGGTCATGACTGGACCTAATGGTCAGGGGTCCCTTTACCTTTACCTTTACCTAGGAGGGAGCAGCAGTGCAAGATAGGAAAAGAGGTGGTAAGGGAACACCTGGCTTTTAAAAACAAATTCAAATATCCAGAGCCTGATGAACTGCACCCAAGGACCTTGTGAATATAATAACAGTTACAGGCTCTGTCTATAATCTTTGAGAATTATTGGAGAACAGGTGAGGTCCATGCGGATTAGAGATAGGCAGGTATCCCCATCTTCAAAAGGTGTGTGTGTAGGGGGGAGACCCAGGTAAATATGTGATGATGTCATGTCTTGTTACGACATCATGACATTGTGACAAGTGCGCTTATGGCGACTAGGCCAGGGCCTGCGCCTCTGCCATGGAGCCTCTGTTGGGGCCCGCTGCAGCTGCCAGTGCACTATGGAAGCACATGCACAGCCACAGTGGGCCCCAAAAAAGGCCCCACAGCAGAGGCATGGGATATGGCATCAAGTTCCTTATGTCACATCACCAGCAAATACTTGATGCACTGAGTTATTTGCTGGTTATTAGCTGCATTGGGGGTTGGCAAATAACTCAGTGCATAAAGCATTTGCTGGTGATGTGACTCAACCCAGCCATTCCAAATTCTTGATGGGTTTCTTGTGGCAAATCAGGGCATTTTATGCTGCATTATTTGAATTAAGATCACTTCTCTTGAACGCTTCTTCTTCTTCTTGGTATACTAAAAATCAGGCTGTCCAGGCTTACTGTCAAGCACACAATATATTTGTCTTTTTTATCATATTTTCTGTGTCATTACGATCCACGTGTCTCATCTCCAACAGAACTTATCCAAGAAAGCTTGAGGTCTCCATATTATTTGTAATCCGCAATAAACCTACTAAAATACTTATACAAAAGTAAGACCTATTTCCTGATCAACGGCTTACTGTACACTTATTGCTTTCCCCTCAAGTTTTAATTAAAATCTAAAATACTTGCAATTGTGTAATTCACTTAAGAAATTAAAACAGTAATTACGTTTTGCTAGTAGGCTTAGGTGTCATTTTTTGGCAGAGAGCAGTTGTTCGAATGGTTGACAAATGAAAGGAATACATTGGCTGAAAGGCAAGTTAGTGATTTTTAATTAGAATTTTTACTCTCACTCACTTCTGTGTCACCAATTAAGCAATAAAGGAACTAATGGCTAATTTTAGAGTTTCCACTGTCAAAATCATTGTTTTCAGTTCCGATTTCTGTCAAGCTATACTTCAAATAATACCTTACACATTGGAGTGTGCCTCAGAACCGGGCAATTCCTAAATAGCAAGCTGAAATCTGCCATTTGGGAAAGATTCAGTACTTGTCCAAACCACAGCAGGAACTGTCTGAAGTGTGCCAATCTGAAGCAGAAGTGATTCATGACACTTTGGATATTCAGACATTAGGAAACACCATGCAGTGTGTCTACCAAAAGAAAAATCTTTCTCACTAACCTCACCATACAGGGAACATATCAGAGAGGGGAGAAGGTTGAGGGAAAGCTCTTTTTTGATTCAAAGGTCTAGCTTCTAATCATAAGGAATGGCGTATATGGATTCTTGAATCATAATGTGTGTGGAATTTTGAGGCATCACCTTGATCTTGTCTTCTCCATGCTCCTTATGAGTTCATTAATTGTTGTTTTCTTGAGCAATCCTTGGACTTACAAGTTCTTCTGCTTCTGCCACATGTCCCCCTCTGTTAAACCAGGTATCATCTAGGTTCTGTTACTTTTGGTGTAACAGAATCCAATTCTTCATTCATCATAACTCCCTGCCCCTGCAATCATCTTTCTGATATTTTCCAGGTTTACTTTACTAGGGTTAGCTCTGCAATGTGTGTGATTTTCTTAGTAAAATTGTTAATCACAAAACTAAAGACAGAGAACCCAACCTAATTTGGTGTCATCCCCACATAATTTAAATGGTGCCGAATGTAATCCCGCTGCCAGAGGTTTTGCCGTCTGAGGCAAGACAGGAAGATGCTTCGTTGTGCGCCCCCACCAAAGCCTAGCTTACCACAGTTACGCAGCTACAGCTTCCACATTCAGGCAAAATCTCACAGGGCTCTCACAAAACATCTCTGGAACCTGGAAGCCACTGCAGCTGCTTCTCCTTAGTTTTCCATTTGCAATGGGGTAGGGGGCACCCATAGAGGCACCTGCAGATGTGCCGCTTATATTCCGCCACCTGAGGCAGCTGCCTCAGTCTGTTTTGTGGACGGCCCAGCCTGGCCCTCTGCAAACCTTTCCTAAATTTGACAGGTTTTTGTTTTGTTTTTAAAGCTAGAAGCAGCTCTATAATGTTTGTAATTTTCACACAAATTGCTTTCAGAATGCACAATTTTTAACTGCCATAAAACTTCAATGTCTGCCTTTGCAGGATACCATTGCAATTATGCTTCTGAGATTTGGCAAGTATTCAGCTCCTGAAAATGGGCTGCCATGCCTGCCAGTTTCATCTAATTTGACTCTTCTTCTTCTTCTTCTTCTTCTTCTTCTTCTTCTTCTTCTTCTTCTTCTTTAAAAGAAGTTATAGGATGTTCCTTTGAAAAAAAACTAATAACTAATGGTTCCCAACATAATTCAATTTACCAGGAATTTTGTAGGATTTATTCACTTAACTGTGTCAGCAAATTTCATCCAATTCTATCAAACAAAAACAAATTATTATTTCCCCCACCTAATCCCATTTCCAGTGATTTGGAAAACCTGAAGGTTAGATTTTTTTTGAACTGAGGTTTGAATCTGAATCAGTCTGTCTTTAAATTAGTCTGAACTTAATTTGTCTGCTTAGGAAGTGTGGCATTGAGACTCAAACCAGACCAACTCAGTTTTCCAGTATGTGACTGAAAATGGTTCTAGCTGGACTATGGAAGAGAGGAAAAACTGGTATTTTACTTGCTGTTGACTGATGTAGGCTTCTCATTTCTTCATGTAGGCTTAATTTCTGATCTCTCTCTGATAAGGTGCCTGATATAGTATTGTTTGTATGAAATCATTTTTACTTTGTCAGTTAGGAAACTATTCCTTCCGCCCCCCTTTTACATGGAACTGAAATAAAACTAAAAACAGAATACAAGATCACAAATTAAGAGGGAAAGTTAGCTTACTGATTATGGCCCTGACAATATCATGGATAAGCTTGTGGGACAAGCTGAGGAGAGGCTAACTGAGAGAGTCCCACCGAGTTCAGTATAAAATTTCCCTATAATTACAGTGAAAAAACCACAATAAAACAGAACATAAAACCAAAATAATGATGATGAATTTATGGTAAATGCTGTTCCTCTATATAGCACACCCATTTTGTTAAGAAGAAGTATTCACTGCGTGAAACTGATGTTGCAAACACTACATAGGCAAGGTTAATTGTGCAGGTCTTCCCCATATGATCATTATCCTCGTTCCTGGCTGGGTAACAAATGAATAAGAAAGACCCACATGACATGTTCCTCCTACATGGTTCCAGAATTCCAGTCGTTTCCATGGTGGTGGGCAAAGCAATTGTGGGAACTATATCCTGTACTATTGTATGCAAAGGGATCCTTCACTGTTTTTTCCTTAATGCGTGAAAATCTTTATATAGTTCTTCTTCTTATTTTATCTGAAGAAGAAGAAGAAGAAGAAGAAGAAGAAGAAAAGAATTAAACACTAACTACATATTTATACCTAATTACACTTGGTGATATCCTTAGATTTAATCACAGAATATTCAGGTTGGTGGCGATCACTTTAACCAAGTGGTGAAATTCTACTGCTTCTTTGGTTTATATTCTTTTGTAGCACCACATCACTCAGAAAATAATGTTCTTGCCATTCATTATCCTTGCCCTTTTTCTACTGAATTGCATAAACCACTTATCTATGCCATTGTGAATTCTAGAGTCCTTCTACTTCTGTAACATTGAAGGGTTGTTCCTTTTCTTTGTCTTTAAAGCACATTTTTGTCACCTTAATCTGAGTGATTTTTTTTAAGTATTGTAACAGAAACAAAATTGAACCTTGTAGCACTTTGCTTCCAATTTTTATGACAAGCCACCCCTACCTACAAGTTTCCTTTGATATGAAACTTGTCTCTCTCTTTAAAAACAAAGCAGTTACTCATTTCTTCATAGCAAGTCTTCACACTTTCACGTTGTGTTGTAGTATCAAATACATGAATAAAATCCAGGTGAAACCTTTCTCTTCTCTCTCTCTTTGCCATTCCAACCATGGTTACCTTTTCCAAAAAGTTATGTTAAGGGGGCCCGTACTTAATTTAGGTGTAATGGGAAATCGGAATAATCTGTACTATGAGAGGGTCCTGAAAGTACAGGGAAGGTCAGAATGGGATATCAAGGAGGCTTGAGAAGGGAGTTGAGATGCCGACATACTTTGAAAAAAATAAGGAGGGGTGGCAATGCCTTAACTCTCCTATCATGCTCCACAAGGAACAAGTCAACATGAAAGGATTGTAGCTAAGGGTGATGGTTAGGAATACAATACAGAGGTGAAGAGTTGAGAGAGTCTTATATCACTTATTTTGACTGATCTGTGCCTTGAAGCAAAAAGAAAATGGCTGCCATATGCAGGTTGCTTATGATTCTCTCCTTGTACAGCAACTTTCCATCCCAACTGAACATTTTGCCATACAACCTCAAACATTTTTAAATGGTTTGCAGATGTGGAGAGAAGTGTTATCCAGGTGGCAGTCATTATGTGTGTACTTAATCTCGGCTGGCAGAGGCCGGCTTCATTTGGGGAAGGTCAGTAGCTCAGAGATAGACCATCTGCTTTTCATGCAGAAGGTCCCAAGTTGAATCTTTGGGTGGGGCTGGACTCAATATGAAGCACTGTCCTATCTTCCTTCTCTGGAGGCTGAGATGATGTGACACAACAAAAGACAGGATCTTTCCCTTGAGCAGCAGCCTGGCCTCTGACTCCAGCTTGCAGACTCCAGAAGAAGAGGACCTAGAAACCAACTAAGGTCCCAGGGTTATGAACAGTCCCAGTTCCATCAGATCAGAGGCCCTTAAAACAGGGCCCTCTTAGTTATGGTCTCCAGAGTCCATAATTTCAGAGTCAGCAGCTCTCAAGGAACTGAATCCTTCCATGTGACAAACCCTCATCCCCATCCATGCCAACCTGCCAATGCAAGCAGCATGTCTGGAGCAAACTGTCAAAAAGGAGGAAGAGTTATAAGTTGCTTTCTGGAGGATTGCTCTGTTGATCTTCCATAACTCAAGGAAGGGTTGATCCAGCCCACAAAGCATGAAAGTCTCTAGTCTTCTCTTGGATATTGCCAAATCCAGTTGCTCACTTGGAACTTTCCTTGCCCTTGTGTGCCCCCATGGGCTCATGGTCAAAACCAGAACAGGGAAAATAATCATGTACCACACCAGCATACAAATATGTGTTTGCATTTGCTGAGATGGAAAGAAGGTAGCAACCTATACCATACCATGCAAATGTAGGATGAATCATCATTCAGACACTGTGGTTCAACATGTATGCATCCATACCTGTGCTGTGTAAGAGTCTATGCATAAATACAAGTTTGTAGTGGATGTGGAATTCTGAAGGAATGTTCTTCAGAGTAGGAGCAATTATATTGTTATGAGCTTGTGGGTACCAGGCTGCCCTAAATTCCTGGGTCCAGTAAATGTCAGGCCAGTTTCGTGACCAGGACATCACCAGGACATCTTTAATAAAGACTCTGTGACATAGGCTAGATTCAGAAAGTGAACAGACCAAGGCTGCCCAGTGAACTTTATGGTTGATCAGAAATGTCTCCTCAGCCCAAGTTTAACATGTTAACTGCTACATCAGCTTTTGTCACCTTGCTTTTTTAAATGACTGCCAGATGATCTAATAAACTGGTCTGCATTTGTGATATATACACAACAGATTAAAATAGCTGCCTTTATTTGTGGGAATAGCTATAGATTATCCCTGGAGTGTGGCTATTTATGCTGTCACAGGAACATACCTTATACCGAATTGGAACACTGGTCCGTCTAGTTCGGTATTGTGATTTGACAGAGGCTTTTCAGGATTTCAGACAGTGGTCTCTGCCAGACCTACCAGGACATGTTGGGGATTGAACCTGGGATTTTCTGCATTCAAAGCAGATGCTCTACCACTAAACCACATGGCCATTCTCTTCATGAGCCTCTGAATGTCAAACTACTGCACAAAACTATCTGAAGTCTGAGCACAGAACCAGGAGGGCTGTAAACTGTCATTAGGATTCATCTTTATGCTAATATCAAAAGGTCCTGAGTACTATTCCTTTTAAATGCCTGTTGCTACCTCTGCTTGCCCCTTGGTAAGCCCTGTGATCTCTTTCATACATTTTGGAGTGATACTCATAAATTCATATAACTCCTCTGCCCAAGGAGAGCAATAACTTGATTGATTTCCATATTTATTAAACAATGAGCTCCAGGATGCAGACACCTGCGATGCATCATTTTGTTTTCTAGCGCTGCCCTTTTGGAATGGACTTGTAATATGCTTACCAAGAAACAACAACTGACAGTTAAAAAGGTAGAAAAAGCAAGAGGTCCTACGCCATTGAGGCTTGCAGGGTTACATACTTGCAAGCAGGAACCAAAGGAAAAGATGTGCTGAATTTCAACCAGGAAAGCTGAAAGTGTAGATGTATTATTTAAAGCCTCCAGACTAATTCGGCAGCTACTACACATTTTGATTTTAACTTAATATTAGTCTAAAATATCACCAGTGAAGTGTGAATGATGCCTTTTGTTCCCTTGACATCTAACAAGAAAAAGAACATAAGCGGAGCATGTTTCAAACCCGTCTCTAATTACACCACTCTGTTTAGGCATTGTTTTTCAATGACTGTTGCAATTGTAGGGATGATTGGACTGTGACTGGTCAAAGAACAATGAGCACCAGACTTATTTGAGCCACATCAGAGCTAGGCTGTAGGCAGCCTAGTCAGAGGACAATGAAAATGGAATTTCTACTGTTCCAAAATTCTAACTCATTGTTATCCTCATGTTTCCAATGAACTTGGATAGTCAGTATCTGCCGGGCTTAGGACATCACTAAGCATGCCAGTGCTTGATAAATTGATGTTTAAGTGGCAACTGACTCCATACAGGATGAATTGAATATACACACATGCTGCAGATAAATGTTGGAGATATAGAACTAATGTGCTCCATATTTTCTAGACCTGTCCTAAAATAATAAAGGATTGGGTTTTTCTCATAACTGTGTTTCTTTTCTTTTTTCTTTTAATGAATGCTAGGAGTTACCCATAGAGAAACTAGACACAGTTTTCCAGGTGTGGTCAGATCAAGGCAGAATAGAGTGGGACTATTGCTTCCCTGGATTGGGACATTATACTTCTGTGGATGCAGCCTAGAATAGCATTTGCTTTTTTTGCTGCTGTATCACACTGTTAACTCGTGTTAAGCTTGCAATCTACTAACACCCCCAGATCCCTTTCGCATATATTATTGGCAAGCCAGGCATCTCCAATATTTTGTGCAGCTGGTTCTTCCTGTCTAAGTGCAGAACCATATATTTGTCCCTACTGAAATTCATTTTGTTAGTTTGGGGGTCCGGTTCTCCAATCTGTTAAGGTCATTTTTAATCCCGAATCTGTCTTCAGTGGCATTGGCTAGCCCTCCTAGTTTGGTGTCAATAAAAAGGATGCTTGGATGATCAATATTCTACTGGCTCCGTGCCCTCCAGCATTTCAGTGGGCAGGGAGGAAGCTTCACAGAGTGACCCACTCTACTCTACAACTTTGCTGAAATCTTTGCTTCGAGCTGAGTTCAAGTTTGTGAAACAAAATCAGTTAATGATCTCATCTTCCAGTAGAAATTTATGCTGGTTTTCTATAGAACTGACATCTGAAGCTGGGAAACTATTTGAAAACAGTTCTAGAAACTTTCTCAAGTCCTCACTCTAGACATTTCCTTGGCATTTGACCAGCATAGTGTCCTAAGGCAGCTGCCCATTAAAAATCACATTAATCAACTGTAGCTGCATAATGATCTCCTCATACCAATGAAATTCCAAGTGGGGGTTTGCCAATTTGGCATTTACAAGCGTCTGCATTTTTCACCCATTGCCTCACCCTGGTTCTACTAAAGCAGGTTGAATGTCTGAGTAAGTGCAGCAGAACTTGATGCAGAATGCCTTACAGTGCAATCATAATTATGTCTGCACAGAAGTAAGTCATACTGAATTCAGTGGAGCTTACTCCCAGGTAAGTATTCTTAGCACTGTAGCCTTAATCTGGGGCACTGTGACTTCCTGGGAGAGTTAAACCCACTGTTTTACAGGCATAGTTCTAAGACAAGGAACCAGCAAATCATTTTGGGAAAAGGGAGGCAAACTCTTTCTAACAGAAGACTATATATTACACTCTTCCAGAAAAGGGGATTGTGGATAGAGAAATCTGTCAGTTTCAGTTTCTTTCCATTTCTCATATTTCTAGTTCTGGTTCCCCAAAATTCTGCATAAGTTTGTAATATTTTGTTAAAGTCTACCTGAAAATTCATCTCTTTGTTAGAAAATTCATCTCTTTCTCCCAATTTACACAACTTTGTCTGCAATTTTTCCAGAGTATGCACATTATTGCAAGCAACCTTACCTAATATAATGCATTTTATGTTATTTGTTATATACACTTTACCTAATATGTGCATCTTTGCACACATTATTTGGCTGGAGAAGTGCAAAGTTCTAAGGACAGCCATGTTTGGATTCACATATTGTTTCAGAAAGTTAAACTCTCTCTCTATATATATGTATAGAGAGAGAGATAATGAAAATATGTTTAGAAACATGTATTTTTATAAAAAATGTATTGAAAACCCTTTAAATACAATTATGTGTAGGGTTTTTTTAAAAAAAAACAAAACAAAACCACACACTACAAAACAGAATAAAAACAAACCCCAAATAATGCACAAGTAGGACACAGATCAGGAAGAGATTGATTTGCTCTTTTGTACTTGGAATTGAGCTCCATGTGTTATAAGATGTTGTCTCTGTTGGCATTTTCATAATTTGTGGGTATAACAAATGGATTCATTATGTTGGCATTTAAAGAAACAGCCACTGAAATCTGCCTTAATGGCATATCACCAGGGCTAACATACTTTCATTTTAACCACAGATGGTGAATTAATTTACTATGATCCCATCACTGTCATGGTAGAGAGAGCTCTTTCTAATGTCCCATTTCAGAAACAAAACACTTGAGAAGAAAATGGTTCAGTTTCTCCTATTTTCTAATACTAGAATACCTGGGCAAGCCACAAAAACCTCTGCCTCATAGTAATATAGAAAGCTGCTTTTCACTATCAACCCATCTAGAACAATATTGCATGCACTGACTGGCAGCAGCTCTCTAGGTTTCCAGATAGGCGTGTCTCCTAGCCCTACCTAGAGATGCTAAGGATTGAAACTGAGGCCTTCTGCATGCAAAGCAGATGCTCTAAAACAGAGCTATGGCCCCTCCTCTAACAAACCAACATTTTGGGTGAATTTAAAAGGATAATCTTGCAAAGCCTTGTCCTTAAATATAATGAGCCACCTGCTGTTCAAAAGCTGAATAGTGTATAGCATTAGGGGCCAGGTCAACAAAAGGGTATCCTTCCAGCACAGTCCTGGATCAGCATTGCCCACTGACAACAGTGACACCCATATCAAACTCCATTTGGTTTTGGGCAAACTGTTTCTAAGAGCAGCAGACTGATGAATGGGAAAATGAGGAGAGATGTTGGAGCTGGGAAGTTAAACCACACAGGTGCAGCAGAAAACTCTTAAGTGTGCTGGAAGTAGACACAGGGATGGACAGATCTGAATGCATCTCTGAATGCTTTCCAATGCATTTCCTCTCAAACTCTTCATTCCTGTGCTTTTTGAACTGACACTGCAACACAAAATTAGGAGAACTGCATAATCCAGGCATAGGCAAACTCGGCCCTCCAGATGTTTTGGGACTACAACTCCTATCATGCCTATCTAACAGGACCAGTGGTCAGGGATGATGGGAGTTGTAGTCCCAAAACATCTGGAGGGCCGAGGCACAGTATATAAACTGTATAGATAGGCAGATGAGCTAAATAAATGAGGCTGACTGATGATTCTGGACAATTCCTACATGGACTTCAGCAACTTATTTAGGACTGGAATATACAAGGAAAAGATTTATATATGGCACACAGCTAATCATGTGTCTGAAGTGGGGTCCCATCTGTAGTAAACCTTTAAAGCACTTTAAACAGGTCTTGGTTTGCCCCCCCCCCCCAATAAAATCATTGGGACTCTGGCTTGTTATGGGTGCTGAGAGTTGATGGGAGAACAGTATTACCCTCACAGAGCTACAATTCACAGAATGGTTTAACAATCAATCTGTCTTCCCAATGATCTCTGGGAATTATTCCACCTGTGTAGCTCTGTGAGAGGAATAGGTGTTCGGTGCCAAACAACTTTCTGAATCCTTAACAAACTAGAGTTCCAAGGATTCTTTGGGTGAAGCCATGACTGCTGAAAGTGGTATGATACTGCTTTAAATGGATAGGACAGATGGGGCCTGGGAACCCAATAAAGACATGTGGTGACTTCCTAAGAGTAGTGATGACGACTCAGTAAGATTTACCACTTTCTGCTTCTTTGAGATTAACCAGTTGGCTGAGACTTCTGCTTCTTAGAGTCACCATATTTTTCTTAAGAGGATCGTGCTTTTAAAGACTGCATAGCAGACAGCAACAATAATAATCCTCCAGTTTCATTTTTTTTTTAATTCTTTCCTTAGATTGCTTGTCCATTTTTATCTCTACATATGTGAAGAAACAAAACCGTCTAGGCATTTTGTGTATTGTTCTTAGCTGTAAAATCGTTTTTAAAAAAAACAAAAAAAGCCTGGTAAAGGACCCCTGAAAGGTTAAGTCCAGTCAAAGGCAAGTATGGGGTTGCAACGCTCATCTCGCTTCAGGCCGAGGGAGCCTGTGTTTGTCCAGACAGCTTTTCGGGTCATGTGGCCAGCAGGACTAAACTACTTCTGGTGCAACGTGACACTGTTTTGGAAACCAGAGCGCACAGAAACGCCGTTTACATTCCCGCTGCAGCGGTACCTATTTATCTACTTGCACAGGCGTGCTTTCG